AATTACCATTATATTGTTAGAACCATAGGGAACATACATTGGGTTGCGATACGTATACTAAGAATTTAAAGATTGATATACTTTTTAACGATCCTGTGTCTCTCACCTAGGTCTATGTGCATATTCAACAAAAGACACTCTCCAACATAGAAGACGAGAATAAAATTAATGACAAAAATCTCTGTTTTGATGGTCTTGTATTGCTGATCATTTAGTCTGCTTAGTTTCTCTCTATCTTTTCTAGTTTTTGCTCAAAACACAATAGATGGTATGAAAGTGACTTGTTAGTACATCTTGCCTTATCGATCATTTTTGTGATTTAAAGTGTCTATTCATCTATTATAATTTTTATCATGTAAAGCTAAACCCCCCCGAAAATGATTAAAACGTCATTAAAGGGCAAGGATTCAGCGGAAGTGCAAACTTGTCCCGGAGACTGTTGTATCATCAACTTATAAACGCCTAAGGATAGCTCAAAATCGCAATTTTTACAAATTTTTGCTTTTTAGTATTTATTCCTAAAACGTAGAAGAAGGTCATCGTTAACCAAATCCAAAATTGTGTTAGAAGTAAAGCTATTAATTGTCTTTCGGGCACGAATTCATTTTGGCTATCGACGGCTTCGATGCCAAATTTGACAAAAAACATGTAAAAGCAAATTTGTATCTTCAACAGCAAAAAAGATGTAACGCTGAATAGCATTTTGAGTTTATGGAAAATTATGTGTAAAATTGTTAAAATAAAATTGAGAATTGAAATTGGGAATGTGTCAAAAAGACAACAACCCGACCAAAGAGCAAAAAAAAAAAAAAAAAAGACCAAGGCCACTAATGAATTTTCATCACAGCGAGAAAATCCCGCACCCGGACGGGCTTCAACTGGCACATGAACAAAAATGTGTACAGTGAAAATGGACGACACACTAAACTTCTAACCTTATAAATGAACTAAAATTACAAAAAGATATTTTAAATATACAATTTAAACTTGTTTATATTACATTCCAAGTATGATAAAGATATGAAAAACACATTTTGGACCCTATGAGTGAAAAAAAGTTAATGAGAATTAGGCTTTAACCCTTTGCAATTTTGTATTACAATGCCTTCAACAGAAACATATAGCACTGAATAGTATTTTAATTTCAGGGGAATATGTAAAACATTGTTGCAATATATAACGTCATCTTCAATTTACAATGTGCAGACCATTTTTAGATTTTGACCCTAGGAGTGAAATAAGTCCAGGGAAAATTGGCCTCGTCACTTTCAAAGACCCCCCCTTTTTTTTCCTGAAAATTGGAGGAAAGCCATATGTTTCTCAAGTGCCTGTGCTTTTGCCTATTTCTGTGGTTGACCCAACATGCTGCCATCAATTAAGTTTCGATGCTTTACTGCTTGAAAAAAAAAATGATCAAACAAGTTCACGGTTATGAATGATTATCAAAATATCTGTATTGCCATTACGCAAAGTCAAAACAAACAAAATAAACCACCAATTATTGATGCAAAATAATAAGAAACTGATCAAAATCAATTAGTCTTACAACCTTATGTTTTGTGATTTGCAACTTAATAACAAAACGTCGTAGCAATTTTATCACATAATTTATATTTCGATATAAATGAAGTAAGGCGGGAAGTACAATTATGTGCCGAGCATCATGATAGACATCTGCTTTTTGACTGCTTCCTGGTGACTCTTAAGATGGCCTCCTAAACCTCGACTTGGAGTGTGAACTTTTTTAAAAATAATATAAATAGCGTATACATATTACCGTCTTGAATGCTGAGCTTGAATGTTCGTGTAATATTGGCTGATTGACCTCAATTTTCATGCAATTCTTATAATCTTAAAAGTAAAGATCATGCATCCTTATTGTTCAGATTGATAAAGTCTTTTCCATTCATCGACATTATCTCCGATTTAAACACTATTGATCTGATAACCGCTGTGCATACGTTAACGACAGGGCTAGTTTTCTTGTCAGATAAGTAGTAACCTCCCTTGTTAATGTGATGTTGTAATCAATCGTTTTATTTTTACCATCTTTATATAATATTTCATTGTATTATTTAAATTTGTGATTCATTTAATATTTAAATATAATAATTTTATATTTTATTATAGATAAAAAACAAGAAAATTTGAAAGTCTTTGATTCATTTATCATCTTGGTTCAAATCAAAAATTAGGCGGTCCATTCTGTCTACATTAAGTAGCCAATACACCGGGGTACCGATGGCTATGTAAAAAGAAAGGAATACATTGTACAACGTAAAGCGAGAATTAGATAGAACAAAATACAGATATTGAATCCAAATGTAGATGTTTTTCTTGTTTGGTGAAATCAAAAACGAAAAACAAAAACACTCTTGATTTTCATTTGGTTTTTGAGAAATCGAAAACGAAAAATGAAAACACTTTCGTTTTCCGTTTTGGTTTTTGAGAAATCAAAAACGAAAAACGAAAACACTTTTGTTTTTCATTTTGATTTTTGAAAAATCAAAAATGAAAAATGAACGCACTTTCGTTTTCCGTTTTTTGTTTTTGACATTTCAAAACGAAAAACGAATGGACGCAAATATACACGGACCTTACCCACAGTAAATTATATCTGTTTGAATTTTTTTTCTAAACTTATACAGAAAAATCCTCGAACTCTTTGACTTTCATTGCTCATACTTAATGTGTTTACACAAAAATATAATATAGTGGTTAAAGGTTATTTGCTTCTTATAGTATAAGACCTAATAAAGATCGTATGCTTGCATCAACTTACCAAATACAGATTTAAGTAAAGCCTGCATTTTTGACATTGTTTATTATTTTTTCCGTGCACGGTTTTGTAATAAAAAACACAATCTCTTGATCCGACTTAATTTCCATATCCCGATATCGTCAGGTAAATACGCTACTTTGAGTATTAGTTTATGACACAATAACATACTGAATTAGTTATAATTCCAAGATATACAGACAACACAAAATCACAAGTAAAGTAGGAACAAAAAAGAAAAAGTTAAACAACCCACAAAAACTAAGGACGAAAATCCTATAAATGAGATATAACTGATTAGTTTTGTTTTGGACATGTATTTTGGTATTTATTTTTTTATCATATTTATTTTCCACGGAATTGTCAGAACCACACTGTTATTGGTCCTTAAGTGATTTTTCGTCTAATGTTTTAGTCTTGATAACATTCTGAAAAATGTTAAATGATTAAATGGATCACAGTTTGGTTTTTGAATCACTCTTCTTAAATATTTAGATCGACTGTTTAATCGACAACATGTGTTGAAAGCTACAATACCAGTTGTGTTGTAAACTTATCATAGTTCTTGACTGTATTTCATTCTTTTTATTTTAATTGTACAATAAAGTGAGATAAAATCAAATCTTACCCTAAACTTATATTTTGCTTTCCCTGCGATGGCACTGCTAGCACTTTGTATGAGAGATTCAACATCAATCCCGTTGTCATTCTTTATTTCGACAGATAAGAAAAAATGCAAGGGTTCATCCATGTCTACCTTAAAATACAAAAGGATCGACATATTTAAGTTGAACTTTCACTTTGCATTTGTTAGTCTCATTAAACAATGGTTTCGAACAAACTTATTTTGACTAATACATTTTCACTTTCATTTTTCATTTCAGTTTTAAAGGTTTACTATGAAATCTAAGACGTTAACAAGATTGATAGTACTGAGTTAACATGGTTAATATGATGTGAGCCGATACATTTGATCCATATCATTTCCAATACCAGAATACTCTTGTACTATACGCTGATTTCTCATGTCATTTAAACGTTTTATGGGCGAACTGGATCCCTGCATCTTTTTAACAGATAAAGTAATAGAGATTTTTTGAGGTTTTTAAATCATCCGATTTGTACATAACCCAGCCCCGCCTAAAGGAAAATATCAAATGTATCATTTAAAAGCAGTTATGAAAGCAGCCGTAAGGAAGTTATTATCATTGCAATATACATTCCCTAGCTCAACACATTGAAATATATTTCATGTCAAAGCAAACCCGCACAAATGACATGAAATAGAATCACACTCTTTGACAGAAATATAAAGATAGGAATCAGGCGTATTAGATATAAACATACGCAGTCTTACCGAATATAGATGAAACAACTCTTTGATTGAATATTGTGATAATATTCAATCAGGTGGAAATTCAGTAATTCTGGTAATGTCAAGGTTAAAAAAATAATGAATTGAGAGCAAATCCTTAAATAATTTACTATGAACCCGAATACATCTATCAACAATATTGATTTTGTCAAGCAAAAAGCGAAAGTAAAATACCATCATTAGAACTCACTGATGCAAAAAGTTTACAGTTTATAATTACCTTAATATGTGTCATCAAATTTGTGTAGCATGTTTAAACTAAAAAAACATAGTGATCATATACTAAATTTTCTATTTTAACATGTACTGATCATTTTCTGATGGTAGAATGTTTTGATTTCTTACCTTACCTTCTATATTTAGGTTCTAAAGAAATATATATCAGTATAGAACATTAAAAGGAACGATAACTGTAAAAAAAATTGGATGTCAATAAACTGATCTCATTACTCTCGTCACGAATGGTAACCAGGAAGACAGATTATATATTGCGTTGAATGTAATTAATAGAATTGATTTTCTTATATATAATATAATATTACAAAATAATTTATAGATTCAATATAAAAAAGTAGAAGATTTGGTATCATTTTCAATGAGACAACTGCCTACCCGAGACCAAATGACGTAGAAGTTAAGGTTCATCATAACAAATGGACAAAAATGACCTATCAAAATCTACCAACAGGAAGGAAAAAAATGCCAATCAAAATAAAAAAAAAGATTTTATGCTATCTTCCTACAACCGTAACAAACCATCTGATATGATGTAAGTGTCAGAATTCGACGAAAAGTTCTTTTTGATATCGTATGGGCAATGTATAAATGAATGGAGAAACTAGAAAGTAAATTGTAAAATTTTTACTTATTCGTAAAAAATTCTTTCATATCAAAATACACAATATATATACATCTGTACAACACGATAATAATGAATGAAAATACATAAAAACACTAATAACATATTACATAACATATTACATAATACAATAGCTTGGCCTATAAAAGGGGTCAACTAAGCCAAGCCAAAAATGTCATAGTTAGACAAAACAACAAATTTCTAAGTTAAGAAAAGGAGTTGAAAAAAGGGGATGGAGGGAGGGAAAATTGATAAAATCCCAAATAAAATCTTGTTTACATAAATATCGATCGTGTTGATTATCAAGAATGTGTAAAACTGTGACGTGTAGTGTAAATACTGCAACACAAGATCTAGTGCAGGGGCTCCCCAAAGGGAAAGGCGAAAATTAAATTAGAATAAAACTAAAGATTTCCGTCATCTGCATAAAATAAGTTATTAAAATAACTTGCCTTTATGCTATCTTCCTACAACCGTAACAAACCATCTGATATGATGTAAGTGTCAGAATTCGACGAAAAGTTCTTTTTGATATCGTATGGGCAATGTATAAATGAATGGAGAAACTAGAAAGTAAATTGCAAAATTTTTACTTATTCGTAAAAAATTCTTTCATATCAAAATACACAATATATATACATCTGTACAACACGATAACAATGAATGAAAATACATAAAAACACTAATAACATATTACATAACATATTACATAATACAATAGCTTGGCCTATAAAAGGGGTCAACTAAGCCACCAGGAAAGATGCAATAAAATAAATCTTTCCTACCCCACAAAGGCCAAGCACTTGGCAGAAAATAAAGCTTTGAGCTTAATGCCTGATCATAATTAGTTCCAATTGAACAATACAAGTATAAATACAATACCGGCCCAAGCAAGTACTGTTATGTTAACAGACAAAGTCCTTGTAAGCAAATAATGACAATACAAACTTCCACAACAATCTATCGTGCATAACTAAATAGATATTAGAGCCACAAACAAACATCTATGTATTAATTTTAATGTATGCATTATAGTTAAGTATGCATAAATATAGCATGCAATTGGCATTGAAAACTTAACGGCCCAAGCAGTTAAGTATTGTTAAAATAACATAGCTTCATGCGTTGAAACCTTTTATCTTTTATAATTGCTATTGCATAAAATGATATGTTTATTATATGATGACACACTAACTGGAGATTTACAAAAAATAAAATTCGTATTGATTGCCAATTACCGGCCCAAGCAAGTAACGCAGAGATGCTGAAAAATTTGTATATATTCCTATAAAAATAATTGTACCGGCCCAAGCAGGTACCAAAAATGCCTATCAATTTAAATGGGATCTTATGTATTTTTGAAATGCGTTAGACTTCCAACGTCCCATAGAGCGTATTTGTGAATCGGATAAGCCTCTCTCGGCAGCATCAGTTGCTGCTCCTATGCGGAAACTGTGTCCTTTGTATCTCGAACTATCCAGACCACAAGATGCTAGGCATTTATGTAAAATTCTGTCAAAGTCTGGACGATGTAATGGAGTGGCATCAACAGAACAAAACAATGGTTCTGTGGGTACGGAATAGGGTCTCACTTTAAGGTACTCAACCATAGCTACGACTGCTGATTCCATTGCGGTACCATGTGAAAACGAAATAGTCTTTGGCATTCCTCTAACGTTATGCTTAAATTTTCGGAAGCAAACCTGAACTTCTGCAGCTTTGCCCTGTACATAAGACAATGAAACATCGTGCAATAGCAGAACATTATCATTTGGGGCATTTTTTGTTGTCACCAACTCTCCAACTCTAGAGAAAGTTGAAAAAGCAAATAAGAAAATTGCCTTGAACAAAATTTGATCATATGTACACTTGATAACTAATGTTATACTGTGTAACAACTTGTTTAAAATAGGAATTGTAATTGGGAGACGGCTATCAAATGTTTTTGATAATCTATATGTGCCTTTAACTAATTTTTCAACTAAAAACGACCGAGTGTTGTCAGGCATTGACATCATTTTGTGCACATAGGCTATGGCGGATAGATATGTTGAAATTGTACTAGGAGCATATGATTTTTTAAACATGTAGGCAATGAATAATGAAATTGTAGCTACAGATATTGGTGGCTGCAGACTTTGGTTCATTATTTCTGTACAGAAAGAGTCAAAAGTTTTCCATGCGCGGCTGTAAGTAGCTTGAGTTGATGGAGCTAGAGCTGCATTTGCTAAGATTGTAACGTACTCCAAAAGTTCTGTGGCTGGAATTGATGTGGAACTAAGCACGGTTTGGGTTGAGCAGCTGGGGCTATTTTCAAAAACTGTTCTACCTGTAAACGAGAAAGGCAATCTGCAAAAATATTCTTCTTTCCGGGTATATGCTTTGCTTTAAATAATATGTTAATCTGCAAACATCTTAAAACCATGTATCTAACCATTTTCATTGCTTGACCATCAGATGTTGACTGTTTATTAATCACAGAAACCAGTGCTTCATTGTCAGTGAATAATAGTATAGAGTGATTTCTCCACAATGGCCCCCATAACTCAATTGCTAAGATGATAGGGTAAAACTCCAAGGTCATTATATTGATGTTTTTCCAGTTTTCTGGGAATGGACCATAAAACCATTTTGACCTGTATATGCCTGCATAGCCTTTAGATTGTGCAGCGTCAGTGTGAAGTTCCAATGCATAACTTGACATGAAACTTTCATTTAAAAACATTGATTTCCCATTAAAAGAATCTAAAAACTGAAGCCATATTCTCATGTCATCTTTTGTCTCCAGATTTAGATAAACGTGAGTTTGAGAATCAGATACAGTCATTGTTAAATTAATCATCCTTCTCAAAATGCACGTCCTGGTTGAATAACAGAACAAGCAAAATTCAAGACTCCAATAAGTGATTGCAGTTCTTTTAATGTACAACATTTCATATGTAAGAACTTTTCCAGAAGATATCGACATTTTGTAATCTTATCCAGTGGCAAACGAGCTTCTTGTTTAATTACGTCCAATGTTATGCCCACAAAATCCATAGTTTGAGAGGGGAGTTCAGTCTTTTCTGCTGATAAGGGTACCCCCAAGTCTTCACATAAATTGATGAACGCCTTGAGTTTGGAGATTGCATCCTCTTTCGATTTCTCAATGATCAGAAAATCATCCAAAATATGCACCATTGAAGTGATACATAATTTCGTCAGTGCTATCCATTCTAAAGCAGTACTGAACTCTTCAAATATTTTACAACTGGTCCGACATCCCATTGGGAGGCAACAATCATAGTAGAACTTATTATTCCATTTAAAACCTAATAATTCATAATCTGTCGGATTAACTGGAAGGATTCTAAAGGCCGATCTTACGTCGGTTTTGGATAGGAAAACTTGATAATTGCGGCTACGCAGTTGTTTAATTTTATTAATGGCTTCATTAATGCCTGCATAATGTACTGCAGCAGATTCGTCGGAAATACCAGCATTAACCGAATTAGATTTTTTGTCTGGGTACGACAAGTGATGAATTAATCGCCAAGCTGATTTAGACTTTTTGGGTACAAGACCTAATGGTGAAACCCTCAAATTTAAAAAAGGTTTTTCTAAATAGGGGCCCATAACTCTTTGACAATTAACCTGTTTGTTAATTTTTTCTTGTACTATTAGATGATTGCTTTTAGCTGATTTAAGGTTAGAGCATTTAAACTGTGATCTAGGCCCATTATGTTCCAATCGAAAACCATATTTAAAACCGTTTAAAAGATAAAGTGATTTTTCTGAGTCATAACCTTGCAAATGAAATTTCAATCTATCGGTCTTAATAGGAGTAGGTAATTTACATTTGTTTAGTTTTGGTGGCGGCAGCTGCAGGTCGTTGTATATGAGCTGTGGTTTCAAAATTTTTTCTGGATGGCCCATTGTCATTTGATCTGTTTGTTGTTTTATTCCTGTAGCATTGGGACATAGAATGACCTTTGAAACAGATACTGCAGATATGGGAGTATCCACAAGTTAATTCACAAATTCGCCCCTCATTATATCTGTGGCATGTTTTACGAGGGGCGCTGTTTGAAAAGGGCTTTGCATTGTTGTATGTGTGAGTCCTTTTCATCGGGTTTGGATTATTAACTTTAGGAATAAATCTATTAAGGGACCTCGTATGTAAAATTTGATCAACATAACTCCAAGAAAGTGTGTCATCATTTTGCATTGATTGTCTAAAATTAACATCGTAAAAATACCAATCGCCACCATCCTTTTGAATTTGTCGAATCAAATCCATATATATGGCTAAATCCTCTGCTAAAGTAGGGTGAGTGGGGTTAAACTTCCTGAGTACGGAAGAGAAAATGCTAAATGCATCTGTCCAACTTTCAATGCTAACAAATTTCTTTTTTTTTTCCAGATGTCAGGCCCACCCTCTTATTCTGAACAGCTAAATGAAAATCTAGTTCAGCAGGATGGTGGTCAACTAGGATGTCTGACATATCAATAAACTCCTTATTTTTAATTTTTTCTTGGAGTTTAGAATTTATTTTATTATACAACGGTCTACCTATTGGTTTATAGGTTGCTGTACCATGGTGAACCTGATTAAAACCTGCAACCAAGCTTTGTGCAGGAATTTGAACCATATTTTGAGTATTGTGAGTGCCAAAACTAGACACGTTTTCTCTAGAATAGCTAGAAGTTTGTGTGTGGTGTGACAAACTGTGTGTGGGTTCACCTGTACTTGCACTGTTAGGTAATGATAAATCACCTTCATGTACGAGGACATCCATCTCAACAGGTTGGGGTCTCGTCGGACGAGGTTGCGGCAATATGCCATTCTCCTTCAAGTTCTCCAGCACTTTGGCAGTCACAGCTGCCGAGATTGCCTCTGTCATTGCATTCTCTGGGGTTTGGGTGTGGTCTTTTTTCTGCCTTTTAGATTGCCTCTCACTAGGCTTCCTTTTAGGATGCATCCTGTTAATATACAAGATACTATCAATATAAATGAGCTCAATAATTATATAACTTTAATGAAAATAAAGTGTTTGTCTATATAAAGATTTATTGAAACACATAGTCTTTGATAAATCACATGGTTTAACATTACCATGCAAATACCATACTGACCAAACACTTGGTCTGTAATTAATTTTCAATGACCAAAACTTGTACCATAAATTACATCTTTTGACCAAATCCATGTTTTAATAAACTCATTTGGCCAATATAGGCATATACATAATCTATCATGAATTTCCATTGACCAAATTTACATGGTCTATTACTATTGACCAAATCCATGGCCTATAATTAAAATCATTTGACTATATCCATGATCTATATAATCAAGTTGTACTGACCAAATTCATGGTCTATAAATTACTGCTATTGACCAAAACCATGGTCTCGACCAAATATATGGTCTATAATTATTTACATGATCTATAATCAATTTCTATTGACCAAATACATGGTCTAAAAATAACAGTTATTGACCAAAACCATGGTCACGACCAAATACATGGTCTATAATAATATACATGATCTATAATCAATTTCTAATGACCAAATACATGGTCTAAAAATAACAGTTATTGGCCAAAACCATGGCCACGACCAAATACATGGTCTATAATAATATATATGATCTATAATCAATTTCTATTGACCAAATACATCGTCTATGAAAAACAGTTATTGACCAAAACCATGGTCACGACCAAATACATGGTCTATAAATAATATTTATTGATTGAGTCTATTGTCTATAATCAACATCCATACAATAATGACCAAGTATATGGTCCAGGTACAAATTAATATATGATTTTACACATGTATGTCATATTCTGATGACTAAAATACATACTTAATTGGTGGTCTTAATATAAGTATGTATAAATCAAAGATAGACTTATTATACAAATATTTAAAACGAGTTCATCCAATAAGCATGATTAGTGTTGTTTACTAAATGTTCGAGTTCATTCAAGCTTATTATTAAAATGTAATGTTTACCTGATGTGACACAATTAAAGGTGAGACAGCTTCTTCACAATATTTACAAACAATATACAAACGTGTACTGTAGTATAAAAAACTCTCAAAAACTGAAAATATAGAAACTAGAAAAATATTAACATATTAATATCATGAAAAAATACATGTAACAATTATCCATTCTTAAAAAACAGATTTTCTAAATAAACATTTACCTAAAAAAAAAATCTTTTTAAAATGCATCTGTTATTAAATTCAACAAGTTATATACATGCACAATTTTACGTGGATGTAAAATATTTTAGAAAGTACATTTAAAATACAACGTATACAGTTTGTATGACAACATTCACAACTTATCATTTTTGTCATTATTCTCTGTTCATGCAAATAATTAGTAAACTAACCTCAACAAGCATATTAGATGAAAAGAAACAACTATTCTACACTATGACTCTATAGCATGCAAAATGGCCAGACGTAAACTTCTATAATATTTTTGCATTCCCAATGCAGACAAATGTACTCCGTCGGAAGCAAAGATTTGCAATGGGCTATTCATCAGCCTTAAATGTTTCCAAAACAGCTTCTTGTCATCTTCCAGGATGGGTAACATCTGATTAACTATCCTTCTCTTGTTCTCATACTGCTCTGCTGTAATGTACCAAGGTTGAGTCCTCGTAAAAAGTTCACATACAACAATCTTATTTACAAAGCTGTAATGTAATTGAAAATCAGACATCAAATCCACAATTTTACATGCTAATGTCTCTGGTTTCAAACCTGGATCACATAAATCATTTCCTCCTATCTGTAAAATAATTCTGAGGGCTGAAAATTCTGAATGTGAGCATTTAAATCTTCATTGTTTTGCAGTCTGTCAACTGTACCTCCTCTAATACCATAACAACTCACGCTGCATTGAGCTAAATTAAAGTCCGGTGATAACTTCGGGTCGTATGTTAATGCTTGCGTTAGACGAGAAATAAAGCTGTGTCCTAATATCAAAACTTTCGGACCTGGCGTAATTTGAATATCCATTTTCACTCTTTTGACAATGTCAATATTTAGAACGACGAAGTATAACTGTAACTCTTTAACGAATCTTCCTCCAATGAAGGTGCACCTCAAAACAACTTCCAACAAAGTTTGTAATAATTCCGTAAATGGATAGATATTGGAAGTGAACAATAAACGCTGTATAAGAAAGTGTTCAAATAAATAGAAATTCAGTTTATGCAATTAACGGATAGAAAAATCTTCAAATGCATTTGATATGCATAAGATTGCAATGTAATGTTCGTACACAATAAAATTCCAAGATGGCGATGAAGCTCAGCTTCCCTGATCAATATTTCATTTACATCAACAACAATAATAAGTTAAAACGACTGCAACTATAAACATTACCTGTTAGTTCTCCAAAAATAAAGAATTATATAAATTGTCTAAATGTCCAAATAACTGTTAAAAAATTGATAAAATCCCAAATAAAATCTTGTTTACATAAATATCGATCGTGTTGATTATCAAGAATGTGTAGTGCAGGGGCTCCCCAAAGGGAAAGGCGAAAATTAAATTAGAATAAAACTAAAGATTTCCGTCATCTGCATAAAATAAGTTATTAAAATAACTTGCCTTTATAGTTCTTAAATACAAAATGCATTTCACTTTTATATATCTAGTGGATGCATGGCTTTAAAACTTTTTAAACTGCATACGTTAGTCTGTACTCAAAGTAGTTTTTAAGGTATACATAAAACCATTGTTTGTCCATTTGTTATGATAAACCTTACCAACAATAGGTCACGATAAGGATTTTAATAATGAGCAAACCACAATACCATAAAGCAAACTGAGTTAAAAGGCGTTATAATTTTCGCATGCCTCTTCTGATCATCTACAAAATATGTACTATGCTTACTCATTTGTCTTCCAGTGTAATATTAAGCAGATATCATACAATAAAAAATAGAGAAAAGTGTGCCTTAAACAGTGTGTTGTTTGTTATTTAATTGTTTAGAACTTCTTCTCCTTTAAATTATAATAAAGCATTTTTATTTTGTACAATGGAGATGTTTGTTTCGTATGTTGCTATTTTTACGATACTATTGAATTTAGAACAACATGTTCGGGGAACTAAAATGATTAATACGGCGTTTTCAGTAATTTTGTTTATATATATATTGTTGTTTATAATCTTAATACATTATTACGAGATATATATTTAGTTGACGTTAATGAAATTACAATAAAGGTACTATTAAATATTTGCTGTATGTCTTATGTGTCAAGTGGCAAATGTTCCATTTATATCGGTTATGTTAATTACGTAATTAATCGTGAAGTTCAATGCAATTCTAAAGTAATATTTCACTGAGTTAAAAGAATGACAGAGAAATAGGCTGATGATTGTGAGGTATTTACATTATATATACTTTACTCTGATAAACCGCTGTAAATACAAAGGTACACATAAGAACATATACATTAAACAATATTCCAAACTTTACGGTAGATATGGTGATGATACAATACAATAAAAATACATTAATATGTCTTCATGTTAAAAAGTGAAGTGTATATTAAACGGATGACCTTAACATATGACATAACTCGAACAGAATTGCAAAAATTTTAGATGTATTCATAATTTCCCTGGACTTAAGAATATTACAAAGGTTTGTGAATTTTTTTATCGAAGTATCTATATCTTTTTGTTGTTAAAAGTTGCATTTGAGGAAATAATGGTATTCACCACCATTATCACAATTCAAAATAACCTTCAGTTGCACGGAATGGCATGTCCCCTTAGTATTTCAAGCCTATATTTTGAACTCTCGTCGAACATTTCCATTCGGCTTTGAAAAGAAAGCAGTACAATTTATGTTACATGAAATGTTCTATGTATAAAGTGGTATAAGGAAACATATTTATTTCATTGCAATATAGTCTTTTAGAAAAACAAATCTTTGAAGTATATTTGATTTATTAAACAATGTGAGTTTGTTAAGAAACCCTTATTCTAAAAATTTAGTCGTCATGATATGAAAAGTTATAAATTATTCGATTAAAAATGTTTATCTTATTATCATTTAAGTCCTTGATTCGTATACGTGTAATTGAGGTATCATTTATGGTTTGTCGTAATAAGAAAAACCAATGAAGAATTACGGGGACATGCCATCACTTTGTTCATGTTTCACCCAATAGAATATTGTTAAGATCCTGTGATTTAATATTGAACCTTAAACTCATCCAAATTATTGAACTTCTTTTTGATTGAATCGACATGACTAAAATTAGGACCGCGGTGAGGACCTAAGTTTGAAGAGATAAATAAACATAACTTTGAACATGACCATTCGCTCGTAACAGAATCAAGACACAGGACAGTTCATGTATGAACGTCACTATACGTTTATCACTGTATGTTATCTGTCAACTTGTATCTGTATAGAAGCATGGTCGATTGCATGATTATATAAAATAACATTTTGTTGCTGAAATTACAAATATTCGATCACACCCAGATTAGTTAACAGTAAAACATACCTGAAATATTATCCTGGTTGAACCGTATTCTGTTTCTTAAGTTATTCTACATCCAGTATTTATCAAACAAACAAACCAACAAAAAACACAAAAATGATTCATTCACATAAGCTGCACAAATACAGTTTTTTTCTATATCTGAAACGCCACTTAGAGACACAAATTATACATATCTTTTCATTCCCAATATAAAAAGACGTGCTTATCAAAACACATAAAAATGAATCTGGTAAAACTTTACTTACTTCATAGTGCTGATAGAGTTTAGAGTATTGATAATAACTACTCCATTTATAGTGTAAATGATGAGCTTGAAAGTTGAATGTTTGTCTGTGTATTATTAAGTACTACATTAGTGACCTTTTCAAAGGAAAACTATTTGAAAATTGAATAAAATATTATTCAGAATTTTAAAGCTTGAAATTCAATGTATTGTGTATTTCAAATAAGCAAAAATCCAGGTGAAGGTCTATACCTGTGAAATAATTGGCACCGGCCCTACCGAACAGTTATTCGAATGTTCTTTCTAAAAGAAAACAGTCGCCAAAAAGTAGATTTTATTCTAAAACTTGCAATTGAAGTCTTTAAATCTGCGATCCAGAAAACTGAAGAAGAATGAAAGGGTGATTGAAAAAACACAGAGCACTTGGGACGTCTGTTTCAGTTTTTTTTAAATGAACTACAACTGAATTCCTTCTGTAAAATTTATAATTTATTATAAAAAAAATCATTAAAAAAAATAAACAAACATTAAACAAGCAAAAAAACAGTGTGACTAATTTTTAGATTTCCCAAGCTGACCAGATTTTTACAATAATTATAAAACAAACAAAAATTACATCGTCCTTGGAGTGCGATTATTCCTATCAGCAATCTACTGACGGTTTGGGTCGATGAATTCTGTTTAATTGCTATGCTGTGTACAGTTTATCTCTGTTAACTATACATGTAGCTTTCGCCAAAAAATGACAAAATAGTTTAATCGTCATAGATTGCAATTTAGGGGATAACATGATGATTTTGGTAATTTACCTTGTTTTTATATCTTACTTAGTTGATAATTTTTTGCACTATTTCATTCGTCATCCACACGAATAAACGAACTTACTATAATTTCTATTGTGTTACATTTGATGCGCCCAAACACATCAAATACAATACAATTGTCATATTTCTGACTTGCTACAGCCATTTTCTTATGTACACAATGGTTTGCAATGCATAAAATATCAACAATATAGAATTAAATGAGTATAAACGAAAGTAAACAACAATAGTTAAAATTCACTGATGCATTATTTTCAGCTTCTAGTTAATTAACATATATGTTATTCACCCTAACGGAACACAAATAACATAATGATCAATCATAAACAATAAAATTTAAATGTACTTACAATGCAACGGTGAAATATTTCAAACTCTTACATAAATATCCGTGTTAAGTAACTTCATTACACTTCCGAAATTTATATTCTTTAAAAAGATCACTCGAAGGAAAGATAACTCAAAAACAGAATAGAATGTCAATAAACTCTTCTCCTTGCTTACATCGCAAACGTTGATCACAGAGACATATTATTTCTTGCCTTGAATTTAATTAAACGAATTGATGTTGTATGTATAATAGTACACAGCAAAACAACCATTATTCAAAAATACAAGAAAGGTGTCATTAAGGTGAAAAGACATTTTTGGAGTTTGATTTTTGTTATTGTGATACGATCTCTTGGATAGGGTGCAATTAAGATTATTTAATTGTATCAATGATTCAAATATTTATCATATTTGACAAATTCTGCGAATGGCACTTGTCAGAAAAAAGTTTTGCGTGTTTCAAGTAAAAAGAATAGTTTTTAATATTAAAAACAATGCCATCGTTATATAACATTCATACCTTTAAATACGTTTCTTTCAATATAACCAGACAAATGTATATATAGAGTTCACGTGAATGAACCCTGGTTTAATACGAAGCTTAGGTTGCTGTATTATCTATATATACCTATTTTCTATCATTTATTTATGTTCACAGTTATCTTTATCTACCTTAAGTTTCAAGACAATTGACAAAAACACGTACAATTCTTTTAACGACATAACGTACTTTTTTTAGTTTCGATTACCAATTTCTATTATACCAATTTATTTCATTTATGCATCGCCCACAAGCTGCTTAAAACGACCCTTCTTGTCGGCCCTACAGTCGCCTATAATAGCTTACATCCATTTCAATTGAACTTTGGTGTGAATAGTCGTCTTA